TACTATTCTGCCCCCTCCCTGGAGCCACTACTCCACCCCCTCCCTGGGGCTTCTGGGCCTTATGCCCCTTGGGCTTCAGGACTCTGTCGACCTACCTGGGCCCCCAACTCAACTTACAGCCCACTCAGGTCTCAAGTGTCTATTGATGAACCTGGACCCTGCCTGTCCCTTCTACAGGGTTACCCACCAGGTTGTGGGGGCTGAGGTTTTAAGGCACCACATACTCACCTTTCACTAGGGAGGCAACTGGTGTGGCATTTCCTGGGAACCATCCCACCACAGGCAGCCCCGCCACACCGTCCTCCCCAGCAGGGTGTAATTTCAGGTCATGCCCCAGGGCCAGGAACCTCCTCCATCCCCATAGTTCCTACCCTTGACCTCCAGATGTTCTGGGAGCAGGAGCTGCAGCTGGCAATGTTCAGGCTCCCTCCAGCAACTGCTAGCTCAGCTCTGAGGGCCTGGGTTTATATTGAGGCTGCTCAGCCCCATGCTCCAATCCAGGAGCCCTTCTGCAATCATGTGACTGCCTCATTAGGCTGCACTGCACCTGCTGGCTGCTCCACAGCCTGATCAAGCCTTTTAAAGTGGCAGGCACCAAAGGTGCCCAGCCACACACTGATAAGAACGTGGGTCCCATTGATGTTATGAAGTTCTGCCGGCAAAACATTAGGTGTATCCAGAGCCAAACCCACCTGCAGCAGAGTCCCACCAGGTCTGCTGAGCGAAGTGAGGCTTCTACTGCCATCTGGGAGCTGGTAGAACGTGCATGTAGACACTCTTGCACCATCTGCCTACTATTGCAGTCCTTCTAACAGCTGGTGCCTTCCCAAGGTCCACTTCCCATTTTGGGGGTACAGCTCTTGCCATGCTGCTAGTTGGAGCTGCCAGAGGCATGTGGCTATTCAAGCACTCTGGTGACTGGCTGGGGTCAGCGGCTGCCAGAGTTTCTACTGGCTGCCCAAGGTATGTGTAGACAAAGTCTTGTCATTTGACTTATCTTCTCTGTTTGAGCTTCTCCGAAATGTGCAGGTGAGGGCAGACAGATCAGAGAAGACTCGCGGCTTTTTAAATGGTGAATCTAGGTTTTGCTTGTTTTTATCTGATGTTAATTATTGGTCTGTATGGCAGGATAAAAATTCACGGCCCCTCCTCTAGGCACCAACAAAATATACCCACCAATGCATTTCAGCCTGACAGATTCATGAATAAAAAATACTGGAGAAAATGGGGAATTCTTTCCTACGTTCCTGTATCAGTGGAGTTACACTATGTTTGCATCTGACCCATACTAATAACGTGCTGCAGAGAATCAGGTGCTTCAGGAAGGACTATTTGTAGCATGGGCCTTTCAGTCTAACGTGATCTGAAATGGAGGAGAAAAGATACACGCAGGTAAAAGGGATAAAGAAACTGAGAATCAACATTTAAAAACTAACAAGCACCCTAGTGTGAAGATAATATTGCATGCACTTTAACCAAAAGAACATTAATGTCTGAAAAATAAAAATTAAAAATAATAAACAAGAATTTTTAGAGATCCTGGAAAAGATGGTGACAGATTGCCTTTAAGAAAAGAAAGTTATTACCCCAGAAACTTTGGTGCCCAACCATAATCAGGTTGACCAGCTATGTTCAGTTCATATTCCTTTGTACTGAGTACTCCAGCAGCAGGTCCAATAACTGGCTACATTTTCTGCAAACATTTAGGGTTGTTGGTTGTAGCCGTGTTGGTCTAAGGACATAGGCAGACAAGGTTCTTTGGATATCTTTTATTAGACCAACTAAATAGTTAGGAAAAATGTTCTTTGCAAGCTGTCACATTTACCCAAAGAACATTCATGCATGTGATCAGTCTGACTGAGTTTATATGGGATAGTTCACATGCAAAAGTGACTCTCATGCCTAACTGTTCCTAGGATTGGAGGAATAAATATTTCTCGGCCATATAAACTACTCCCATGTATATCAGCCTAATGCTCTGCATTAACAAGTTTGACCATCCTAAAATTCAAATTAAGCTGCTAAAGTGGGATTTTCAAAATTGTGTAGCACTGACCTAAATTGAGCCTGCTATAGTAAGTAGGATTTTTTTTTTCTAACAACTTTAAAAGGAACAGTTGGACAAAGTGCTGAGGGCTTCTAAAACTCAGTTGTCTGTCAACTCTCACGTGCATAGCTAGATCCAGGATTGCAGCAAGCGGGGTGTGGGCACACCTCCCTTTGGCTGTATGCTGCTTGCTTCACGGTGTATGCACAGTGCCCGTATGTACCACACAACTGAAGGGGGTGCAAGTGCCCTGCCACACTCCCCTGGAGCTGTCCTGCTTACATGCACATAGCAATACTTACATTCATTTTATCTGCATGTAAGAGTCGATGGGTAATCTTTTTCCCCCTTCTCTCTGTAGACTATATCTTTAAAAAAACCAAACCATTTCTTACATTTCAAATCTTGGTTCTAAATTTAGGGAAAATATTTTGGAATACGATGCTGTAATGCTTACTCGGTAATAGCAATATCTTTCTTACATATTTGCTTGTCTGTTTCTCCTTCCTTTTCCCTACCCCAGTAAATAGACTAACGTTTGATATATCTAAGATACATATTAAAAATATTATCATGAAAGGAACTGTGTGAATATACTATATACTAAAGTAAAATAACACCACCTCCTTTTTGTATTGCTGAGGTAGGGAATTATGTAAAGATTACATTAGTGAAAATGTAGCTGTCCTTCTAAGTGAAGCTGCAAAAAAGCTATTCTCTTTATAACCCATCTCACAGCCTAGAGGGACTGCTCCTAAGGAAGCATTGTCCAATTGAGCACACAGCTAACAACCATGTTCCAGGGTCAAACCCAAGTTCCTTAGCCATAAATTGATGTATTGCAGGAACTTCTTGTGCAGAAACTAACATTTGACTATATTTCAACAAAGAGAAAACAATTACAGAGTCTGTAACTCTCCACAGAGGTTCTTCCTATACCCGGAGCACGGTCTCTACAGGATGAAACTCATTCCACTTCAGAACCATTTAGGAATATATTAAATTAGTTTCTGAATTGATGTGAGCCTGTATAATTTGGTATCTCTAATTACTGATATCTTTCGTCTCTTTCTATTAGTTCATTCTTCCTCTTCTGAGCAGTCGACAAGGATCTCTGCCTGAAGTACCTTATTTTGGTTAGCATTCCTTTGCTTTTTCAGCTTCTTTGGCTGAACTGTGTTCCCAGCAGTGGCTGCAATGGTGCACACAGATGTAATTTAGTCAGCATGTGCCAGTCTTTCACTGGCACTGTTCTGGAACAGGGTTTCCCAATCCCAGATCTGAGCATGTGATACATGGAAAACTGGGACGGAGGGCAAGATCCACACCCCCTCACTGCCAGAGTCATGGAAAAAACGCTGTTAGGGCATGCTTGCGTGCCCAGTTGCTCTCAAGACCTCTGTTTTTAGCAAGCTTGTGAGCAGCTTCAAGACATGCCCCAGAGCAATTTCACTCCTGCATTTTTGAGCTTGGTGCATGTGAGTGGGGACAGGCAGTCTTGACAGTAGTTAAACATGGTATAGATATACACTAAAAGTCCCATTTTCAGGGTCATCCATAACTCAGGCAGTAGAAAACCACCATAATAAGACTGGCCTCTAAAGACCCCCCCAGTAAACTCTGGCATAGGAGTATGTTGCGGACAAAATGGTAGTGTTAGGGTTGGAAACATAGCAGGGCAAGCAGCACTATGGCCACTAGAGCAGCTCAAGGAAGCTACTATGATTAGGGCCTGGTTTATATTGCAATTTTGCATTTTCATGAAAATCGCAAAATTGGGTGATTTTCATGAAAAATGTGACTTGCAAGGAAATACCATGATATGGCCGCTTGCTGAGGCCATATTATGTGGCATTTCCTTGCAAAAAGATGGAGCTGTGGAGGCCTGCACTGCTGTGCAGCACCTAGCCTCTGTCCCCACCCACCCCAACCAATGGCAGCAGTGGCAGTGCATCACCAGGTGGGAAGTGGGAGGGAAGTGCTCTGCGCTGCTCCAGTAGGGCTCCTGCATGTTGAGTGGAGCTGGGGGTAGGGATGGGGGCAGTAGTGAGGAAGGCTGGGGGGCAGCAGCCCCCCGCATATGAGCGATGCTGCCCATGTTCCAGCCCCGCTCCACACCTACCTCACAAGCCTTTTCTGGCTGTGGGCACTGCCAGGCCACCACCACTGCGATGCCAGGCGAGTCCAGCCAGGCTGGGGCCCCCTGCATGCAAGCAGTGCTACCCACCTTCCAGCCCCCAACCCCACGTTGCTTGCATGCAGGAGCGCCAGCCCAGCCAGCGTTTTGAGTTTGTTGGCTGTGTGCTGCAGTTGCCAAGCCACTGCAATGCCAGGCAAGTTCAGCCAGGCTGGGGTCTGCCAGGTACCAGCCACGCTGCCAAGTGAGTCTGCCTTCTCCCCCTGCACCGGCCTGATAACGAGTATCATGGCATGCTCGTTGTGGGGGGCGCCGCAATCTAGGGGCAAAAACGGCAGCCCCTGCCACAATCTTGCCATGATACTAGTGAGCTGGGCCCATAATTTAAACCAGGCCCCAACTGTGATTTAGACAGAACAGCCTATAACAGAGCGGGTCTAAGAGTATCTTAGGGCAACTGATGTTAGCCTTGTACTCAGAAACATTTGAAGAAAGAAGGTAGTTGGGAAGTTTCCATCTGGACACCATCTCATGTTTTATATCCTTCAGCTATCCTGATGCACAGTAAAAAAACTTTAAGATTGTAGATACAAGGTGTCCTAATTTTGCCTGCCTGTCTTCTGTTGATTAGAACCGTACCCAGATAGGTCTATTGACTTCAGTGGGGCTCCTTGGAGGGTGCAAGAGTGGTAGGATCAAGACTACAGTATTAAATTACCATTAGAGCCAGTTTTTTCTATTGGTGACTGTCTGCCAATACATTAAAAATTACTCGCTTTATGATATAATAAAGATGTTATTTCTTCTTTACTCTAGGTGGTGGATGTGGACTTTAAGGTGTGACTCAACGTTTCATCCTTTGACTATAAGTTTTTTTATCTGATTGCACTAGAAAAAAGCTGCTAATGGGATAAATGTTGAGACATTTAAGGAACTGACTTGAAGTACCAAAAGCCATTATTATAAAACAAGAAAAGCTTGAAGCCAAGGCCTGCATCTGGCCAGTCAGTATCATTTCCTCACCGTGACAGAATGGCAAGTAAAAGAAAATCAACTACACCTTGCATGGTCCTGGCAAGCGAGCAGGATCCAGACCTAGAAATGATATCAGACTTGGATGAAGGACTTACTCTGCTTACGCCAGCAGAGAACCCCACAGCAGAGAGTATATCAAGTGATGAAGACGTTCATGAATACACGGATTCAGACAATCAGCAAAATAAAAAAGTTGAAGGTGGCTATGAATGTAAATACTGTACATTTCAGACACCAGATCTAAATATGTTTACTTTCCATGTGGATTCAGAGCATCCCAATGTAGTTTTAAATTCTTCCTATGTTTGTGTGGAATGCAATTTTCTTACCAAAAGGTATGATGCTCTTTCAGAGCATAATTTGAAATACCACCCTGGAGAAGAGAATTTTAAATTGACCATGGTGAAACGTAACAACCAGACAATCTTTGAGCAAACAGTGAATGATCTCACTTTTGACGGGAGTTTTGTGAAAGAGGAGAATATGGAGCAACCCAATGCCTCTGAGGTCTCCTCGTTGGGCATCTCCATTAGCAAAACTCCAATTATGAAAATGATGAAAAATAAAGCAGAGACTAAACGAATTGCAGTTTTTCACAATGTAGTTGAAGACATTCCTGGTGAAGAAAAGGAAACGGAAAATGAGCCGGACTGCGAGGAAGTAGTAGAAAACCCACCATCAGCAGCCCCCGAGTCTAAAACAAGCAACCCAGCTGCTTGCAATACAGCAGATACAACTAGCACAATAGTTACCCCAGCCCCAGGAATTCCTCCAGGGGTGGCACAGGTAATCACGGCTGTCACAGCTCAGCAGAACTCCAACTTGATTCCAAAAGTCTTAATCCCAGTCAACAGCATTCCAACCTACAACGCTGCTTTGGATAACAACCCACTCTTGCTCAACACCTACAACAAATTTCCCTACCCAACCATGTCAGAAATCACTGTTCTTTCTGCTCAAGCTAAATATACTGAGGAACAGATTAAAATATGGTTTTCTGCCCAACGTCTGAAGCATGGTGTGAGTTGGACACCAGAGGAAGTAGAGGAAGCAAGAAGGAAGCAATTCAATGGCACTGTGCATACTGTACCACAGACAATTACCGTCATCCCAGCACACATTTCAGCAGCTAGCAATGGTTTGCAATCCATCTTGCAGACATGCCAAATTGTTGGTCAGCCAGGTCTTGTCCTCACTCAAGTTGCAGGTGCAAATACATTACCAGTAACGGCCCCTATAGCTTTGACAGTAGCAGGAGTCCCAAATCAAACACAGCTACAGAAGAGCCAAATCCATACTGCCCAGCCTATGGCAGAAACCAAGCAAATAGCTGCCATTCCAGCCCCTCAGTCCATCAAAAATGAAAACACATTAGTTAATCCTGATTCATTTGGCATCCGTGCAAAAAAAACAAAAGAACAGCTGGCAGAATTGAAAGTCAGCTACCTTAAAAATCAGTTTCCTCATGATTCGGAGATTATTAGGCTCATGAAAATAACAGGCTTGACTAAAGGAGAGATCAAAAAGTGGTTCAGTGACACACGTTACAACCAGAGAAACTCAAAGAATAATCATGGTATTCATCTCAACAGCGATTCCTGTGCCACCATTGTTATCGACTCAAGTGATGAAACAAATGAGTCGCCCACGGCAGTCACTCCGCAGAGCAAGCAGTCGTGGAACGCTTTCCCGGATTTCACCCCGCAGAAGTTCAAAGAAAAGACTGATGAGCAGTTACAACTCCTCCAAGCCAGTTTTCTCAACAGCCCTGTCCTTACGGATGAAGAGATGAATCGGTTAAGAGCACAAACCAAACTGACCAGGAGGGAGATTGATTCCTGGTTTACAGAGAGAAGGAAATCGGATGCCTTAAAGGAAGAGGTAGGTGATTTGAATGAGAGCACTGCAAGCAGCTCAAAAGAGGAGGCTGGAGAAACCTCTCTGGGAGATGGATCTGCAGGGTCAAAATCAGGGGCTGCTGCTTCAAGCAAGATAGGTAAAAAATCACCGGAGCAGTTACACATACTGAAGAGCTCATTTGTCCGTACTCAGTGGCCATCCCCACAAGAATATGACAAGCTGGCAGAAGAAACTGGACTTCCTAGATCAGAAATTGTTAGTTGGTTTGGAGACACTCGCTACGCCTGGAAAAACGGTGGTTTGAAGTGGTACTATTACTACCAGAGTGCCAATGCGAATAGCCTGAATGGGCAAAGCTTTGTGAGAAAGAGGGGGAGAGGAAGACCAAAAGGAAGGGGAAGGGGGAGGCCTCGCGGACGGCCCCGAGGAAGCAAAAGGCTGAACAGCTGGGACCGAGGATTGTCCATCATAAAATTTAAAACTGGAACAGCAATCCTTAAGGATTATTACATGAAGCACAAATTCCTTAATGAGCAAGATCTGGATGAACTGGTAGCCAAATCACACATGGGGTATGAGCAGGTCAGAGAATGGTTTGCGGAAAGACAAAGACGATCAGAGCTAGGCATAGAGCTCTTTGAGGAGAATGAGGAGGAAGATGAAATGCTGGAGGATCAGGAAGACGAGGAAGAAACGGATGATAGTGACACTTGGGAACCCCCCCGACATGTTAAGCGTAAACTCTCAAAATCAGATTGACATGTAAGTTTGGGGCTCGGGGCCAAAAACCCATGAATTTGACATTATTGTGAAGAGCCAAATAACTAATGGCCTTCAGTTTTAGTGAACACCTGCTTAGCATTTTTCCTCCGCCTCAGAGAGCAGACAAGATGCTACCTGTGTAGCCAACAAATGTTTCCCTCCTGGCTAGCAGAGATGGACACGCTTGATGCTGCCCAGGATTTGGGGTTCTAAAATCAACCCAAATTCAGCTCCTCTTCCTCCACATCACTACCGTGGGTCCATCCTTTACGTGACTCCTTAGAAATATTTAGCTGCCTTACATTTAAGTCCAAAAACGCAGATGCAGTTCCCATTGTTGTAGGAGAACATTACCCACTCTTGGAGGAGGAAAATACAAAAACCTAAGATGTCTTTTTGCAAACCTCGCTTCACCTGCAAGGCTTCAGGGCTTGGGGTTTTATTTTTAAAGGAAAGAATTCAGAAGCAAAAGAAGGGGAAAAGTGGCACAAAGGAACCAATAAAGCCAGGGGTGAGATTTCCTTGGTTTTAGGAAACTAGGAAAAAATGGATATCTCTGTCATGTCCTCAGAGTGTTTGGGGTTTACAGAACTCTTGCTGACAATGTCCTGTTGGTTATCCTGAGCTGAGCACATTTAAATATAGAGCTATTTAATGCTTTCCATTAAACTTAATCAGTGCATTTAGAAATCCATCCATTTAATTTGAATGCCTTGCAAACTTGATACAATCCATTGCATCCTTTTTTTTCCTTTTGGCTTATATATTTATTCCTGTTAGAAAATGGTAAGAAAAATGTACTTATGTCTAGCCAAAACATCCATGAAATCAAATGCTGCATTTAAAAAAACATAAATATAGGAAGATAGGAAAGTTCCCTAAAAAGCTGTTCAGAATCAGTTTACAGAGAGTAAATTGCTCAGCATCATAACAAATACAGAGATTAAAAGCATCTCCATAGTTGACTGCTAGGAAGAACAACTGTTCCTTGGGTGAATTTGATATCTTTTATTAGACCAACCCAAATGGTTGGAGAATAGTTATTAAGCAAGCTTTCGGGTTCAAAAACCCTTCGTCAGGCTAAGGAAGCTTCAGTAGTTGTTGCGTGCTCTTCCTGGATGGAAGAACAACTTGCATTTTTAAAGGAGGTGTGGCAGTGCCGTAATAATTCAATTACTATAGAAAATTAAAATATAGCTGCTACTGCCTCTTTAGCCTTTGGGCGTTGGGAATGATATGCACCATTTTTCTTCTTCAGTTGTAGCCCAGTCAAATGATTTGTGAGCAAATTTAACTTAACGTCATCCTAATGGATTCAGCCCATCACTTTGCTAATTACTTTTATGACTATGTAGGGCAGTAAAACTATACTGTCAAATACTCTCATTTTAAAACTCTCAAGTTTGACCTACCTGGACTAAACTGTAGAAATGACTTTATCTGGTAGGGAACACTTGCTGAACATTAAGTATCTGTGGGTGCATCTATTCATGCACTTTATTACGGAGTTGACTAATTAGCTCTGCAGTAAAGCATCACTGTCTACACATGCACTGATATTAGGGCACAGTAAATTAACTGATGTCTTTTACTGCACTGCAGCGCACGTGTAGACAGTGACTGGGACAGCAGCACTTTGAACCGGGGGGAGCACCCTGGGCTGGCAGCAGGCTCGAGGGGGTCATCCACATGACCACAGTTTCGACACTCTCGTGTCCCAGCCAGCTTCTCTGCCGCCCATTGCCACCACCCAGAGCCTAGGGCTGACCTCCCAAGCCTCCTGCCAGCCCAGGGCTGCTCCACCCTGGCTCAAAGTGCTACTGTCCTGGGCACATGTGTAGCTGCTGCACCTTGGAGCAGTGTACTTCAGTGCAAACTGCTCTGGAGTTAATCACATTGTATTAATTGCACATGTAGAGGCACCCAGTTTCTCAAAAAATTAATCATTTGAGCCGAAGAAAACAAAGTATTGCCAGTGTCTGATGAGCCAGCTCAAGAACAGGGTCACTAAAGCCAGCTCAGGAAGGTGCCTTGCATTCAAAGAATATTTTCGCTGAGGACCAGCAGCCGTGTTTCTACCACCACCTTCCTGTGATTCTGCAGGGAGTAGAGGAGTCATTAAATTTTACCATCAAGGGAAGAAGCTGAATCATTTCATTTCTGTTTAGCTTGGCCAATGCAGTCTGCATTTTGGCTGGGTGGTATTAGCATCTTAGAGAAACTGCCCCTATGATAACGTATATCTTCTCTTCATACATCCACTAGACTTCTCCCAGTGGCCATTATGCAGACCTGTGGAAGACAGGGCAATCTGGCATAAATCTGTCCTAAATCAGTCCGAATGCAGTTTCTAACTCATGATCTCATGGGGCTCTTCTTTTTCACAGTGATAAGTGACCAAAGACCAACATATTCCTCTCATAGCGTGAGCTTCTGAAGCTGAGGAGACCTTAGTAGATACTCTTTCTCTCTCTCTGTGTGAAGCCTAGAACAAAATAAAAAAGAAAGAGGACAAAAATCTCAATCTGGGAGAAGACAGTATCTTGCAATCAGTTGCTTTTTTAAAAATTTGTATCTAATGTCCCCTTTCTCATGATTTTCTCAGCCACTTTGATCTCAAATGTAAAGGGCTCACTAAGCTTCAGGAGGACATTCTGTCCTGAAAGTCCAACGCTAGCTATCGAGGGTGTTCTCCTTTTCTGTTCAGGATTACAGACAGATATTAAGACAGAATGCCTTTCGGCACATGACGCGGTCTGACTCCGGAAATACCGACTGGTTGGCTTTAGATATTCAGGATCTGATGAAATGAGCTTGGCTTCATGAAAACTCATACTATACATCTCTGATTTAGTCTAAGGTGCAGCTCTACCCTGCCTTTTAGAAATGTAATCAGCAAGACCAGTGGGAAGCACAAAAAACCTAGCAATGTAGTTGGTCTTTTGTTGGTGCCTGTTATTGTAGTGATGTAAACTAGGACATTTCAGTACCAAACTGGAGTATCAAGAAATGCACTTACCAGGTAAAACTGGGAGCACAGCATTGTTTTCTGTGATTCTGAATTAGTTTATTCATATGGAATGCAGCAATCGAATGACAGAACAAGCTATAGGCAGACAAGGTTCTTTGGGTGAATCTGATGCAAGAGAACAAGCTACAAACATCCTATAGACAACCTATAAAAGACCTATAAACAACAGCACTGAGGGATAAGATTAGAGTGATGGTTTTAGATTTGATATCCATTGCAAGGCATCGTAAGTAGCTTGGTGCAGGTCTTCAAAGCAACCATTAAAACGATAAATAGGGCATTCCTCCGTGATGTGTGCTATACTTTGGATTTTGCCACATTCACAATTGGGTTCTTTGATAAAATTTAATTTATGTAGTAGGCAGTTACATCTGCCTTGTCCTGTTCAACATTGTCTCGTTCCACCTTAGTGATTCTGAATGTACACCGATATAGAAAAGAAGAATCTGGCCTGATCTTTTTGGGCTTTGGCTGCTAAAAATGCCTCAATTAATAAATAACATTGTCTGGCTAAGGCTGATATGGATGAGGCTGTTAAAGCTGTTGAAGAAGCTAGAATATATATATATATATATATATATTATAGCACCACACGGATGTGTGTCCCTTATGCTAATTTGAAGATCGGTTGGGAATACAAAGTCAAAAATCAGTGTTTGCCAAGTGGGAAGGAGCAAAACCAGTAGGGGGAGAGATGCTATTTTTAAGCTTCCAAGAATATTAAAACAAATCCTAAAATTTCTTGGAAATGTGTCTCTGGTGAACAAAGTCTGGACTGGTCTAAATAATTAGGGATATGTTAGAGTTGAATGTTTTCTTTCAAAAAAGATACTGTTAAAATAAATGTATCCTGTTGTGTTGAAATCAATTTTAGGCTAGTATTTAAACTAACTTCTAAGAAAAAAGCCCAGGAATAAGTATATAAGGTAACCAAATTCTCCACATTACTTTGGTCTGTTCTCTTAAATAATGCTGCCTGTGCAACACTGGTAATTGGCATGTGTGGAAGAAGGAGAATGTGGAGGGGGAATAGATAGTGTATCAGAATAAATGCATTGCGATGACATTCTTTCTATATAAAGCTTGAAAGATGGCATCTAACATCTTAGCCACATTGGGTGCATCTACACGAGACACTGCACAGTAGCCTAATAACACTGCGCAGTAGCCTGCCGGTCAAAAACCATGGTAATATGCTAGTGCACAGTGTTACTGGGCAACTGTGCAGTAAGCATTAAAAAAACGTGCACTGGTGCTACTGCACGGTAGCGCAAGTTTCTGCGCATTTAGTTAGTACTTCATTAAGCAAGTACTAAACTAAATGAACGTGTAGACATGCCCATTCTCAGCTGGCCTACATGACGTAGCTTCATTGACTCCAGTGTAGCTGCAGGAGCATAACCAGCTGAGTACCATCATCTCTTTGTATTCTTCAAAATTTAAAACAAACCAAATACCGTGGAACTAATTTCGAAATGCTGAAAATCCACAACTTTTATTAAAGACAAAGGAGAATTATGAACCAGCTAGAGCTGACTGTGATGATAAAATGATAGATAGATTTACTACATATTTCCTAGGAGCTGTGTACAGTACTCTGAGCACTGGTTATAACTGGCCTTATTTGCTCACGTGCTCTTTTTAAAAGAAATAATTACCATTTTCTTTTACTCTGTGCAGCACTTGTACATTTGCACTGATTATTGATGCTTGTTTTCATGGAGGCTTCTATGATCTCACACAGCCAATGTGAGATTTTGTCTCAGTTGTGTCGATATTTTGCTGGCACTGCAGGATTGTCTGAAATTGCTTCAGTTGCTACCTGTAATTGTCGCAAAGACTGGTGCGAAGCAGGAAACATGCTGTACTTTACAGCAGTGGCTCCAGAATCCCACTGTTCAAACCTACAATACATTGCTGCTGCCTTGCTTTCACAGCTTATCTATACTAATAAATTTACAAAAATAGCTCTTCTGAAATAATTATCCCCTTGGATTAAGCTATATGAGAAAAAAGCAATTCTTGTTCTGGAGCAGAGTGTCCACATGGGGCTTATATTCAAATAATTGTTATGAATAATGATTGTGGAGTAGTTATGCTGGGAAATTTCCAGACGTAGACAAAGCCCCTTCACATGTACTTTCTCTGACTCTGGTGAGGTTGAACTGTTAACCTCTTAAGTCACCTAGGCTCTGTGTATTGGCTTTAAAGTATGTATCATTGAATGGGAGACAGAAAATTATTTGATGCAACCGAAAACTTCAGCATGGGTAACAAGTGGATTTGTCCAAGAGAAAGATTAAGAGCCATTGCTTTAGAATTCACCTGGGATTTGAATGGGAGGGAACAAATGCACAACTAACATTTCCTCCTTTCTTTTCCTCTTCTGCTCCTGCCAAGAATATCTGATTCGATTATGCTAGTTACTCCTGCTTTTGAAACTCAGCTGATGCGAGAAAAAGAAGTTTCGAGGCCAGAATGGAGAAAGACATACAGTAAAAGATAGGAATTGATGCCACGGTGAGCTGGTGGTCCACTGTGCTGCTTGATGGGGGAATCCCTGGAGTACTCTGGAAGCAGCTCACTTCATTTGAAAGCATTTGATATCTTTAGAATAACTTGTCTCAGGAGTGCTGGTGCGAGGGGGTTCAATCCAGCCTCCCCTGGCAATCAGGATGGACCTGTCTGATCGCAAGCCCTTTGAGAAGGGAAGTTTGGAGAAGTTTCCTTTTCCACTCTCCAGTAGAAATCCACTTCCCTTAGTAGCCAAAACAATAAAACATTTCTTGTTCTTTCAGAACAAAATAGGCTGGCTGGGGTCAGCCATCCGACTCCACTACCATATCTGGATATACTCATAATATCTCCCAGTGAGAAAAGGCAAATATTCAAGCTGCCATCTTGCTAATATCTAAGCCCTCGTCTAGAAACTTAAAAGCAGGGAGCTTTAGTGAAATAATATTGACTGTTCTGGCTTTAATTGGGCCTTATTAAAGAGATCAATAAAGTTCAACAAATGTACTGGAAGTTGTTCAAATATGGCAGGTCTTATAAGCGTGAGATACTACAAGAAATAATAATAATAATTTCATCACTAATAATAGTGATGAAAGAGATCAATAAATGTATTGGAAGTTGTTCAAAACGGGAGGATCATAGAAACTAGAGATGGGAAAAGACCAGCAGGGACTCGGTAGTCCATTTGGGTACAAATGTTTGGCAGTTTGGTCTGAAATGAAATTCTCAAGGCTGCAGAGTGGCCATTAAAGATTCTTTGGCACTTTTTTATCAGTTTGGAGTGAATTGAACCCTAATGCCTGACCAAATTCTAGCATCAATCATTGCATTTTGTCTTCCTGAACTCCCCTTGCAGTGGTTGGATAAGGTATTTGTTTTCTTTTTCTGTCCCACACTGCTCTGTGGTATTTTGTCCTGTCAGACTACTCCCATATTTTGTTACATAGGTGGATGAAATGATTCCTGATTAAAATACTCTGGCTTCTGTTCCAATTTTAGTTTGTAAAGCATTTTAGGATGAAGGTGCTACATGTAGGATTTTGTCTATCGCAGCACAGTAATGTAAAATTGTGGTCTAATATTTTGATCAAAATGTTTCCTTACACACTTCAAGATCAGATGTATTCTAAGAAACTTTTCCCCTATGTTAGCTACTAAAATAATATGAAATTTCATATTGTAACATCATCTATGGTGTGACAAAATACGACTGCAACATTATGAATTCATAATAGCATTCTCCCCTAGTCCCAGTTTATAAAATTGTTTCCAATTGTATCTAGTAGACTACTATGGGCATATTTGTAGCTTGTATAATAAAATACTAAAAGCAAATTGCCTGTGCTGCAAAGGCATATTATATTATTATATAATATTATATTATATTGCATATCGTATACACTGCACTGGATGCTGCTCTTCATGTGCACAGGAGAGATACCAGGTATCTGTCTAGTTTACATAAGTGATGGAGCTTTGCATTTTTCCGTAACTGCAATATATTTAAGTGTCTCATTTGACATGTGAAATGCACTTAAGTTAATGCATTGTAGTGTATTTAAAATATAAAGAAAGGGATTAGTTAAATATCAGCAAGGTTTCAAGAGGCGAACAGTCTGAAGCAATCCCATGTGATATATGTCTACGATGTCAAAGGAAGTAATTGTGTTTGTAGAATGAAGGGTTTCTCTTGAGTGATATAGTAGCTTATGGTGTCTTTCCTTTGTAGCTGCCCAAGAGGCGAAGGGGAAGCAATTCTTGAAAAGTTCAAGATATCTGGTTTACTGTGAATGGGCCTAATCTTTCGTGAAACCAAGAACATTTTTGGACACACACAGGATTGAATACTCAAAAGGATTGGAACTTAGTGTTGTGCCAAAGTGAAACTACTGCAGTTGGCAGGAGTTCTGCACTGTAAATAGAAGACTGATTAAAAGACAACTTGTAAAAAAAAATCCAGATTTTAATACAGCACATTTTTATTCTAATACATGATGGAAACTTTCTGTTTAGACCTTTTTTGAAGGGGCTTCAGTGACCACTAGATTTTTGTCCTCTTATATTTTGTCTGGCTTAATACTGTATGTTCTAGTAAGATGGGCTTTATTGCCTGTGTTCTTTGATATGTGATTAAGCTTATAGCTTTGAGTGACCAAACATTTTACAGAGTAAAAGTTCTTAGAAACAGTAAACATAACTGATATTTCTGTGTCTTATTTATCAAGCTCTGCACAAGCTTTGAAGGTTGTTGTGCATAATACTGTACAACTTACACTTCCCTGGGAATGCAGCATATGTCTCAATATTACAAACCTAAACTTTTGGTAGTGGTATGGATTCTGTCTTTAGATTTTTTTTTTTGTTGAGAAGACATGAATGGATGCTTCTGTTAAAAATATTTGTAATATTGCCATGATTGCTTTCAGTAGAAGCTTTTTTGCTTTTGCTTCAAGAGATAAAGAAAATAACACAGAGAAGGAAATAAAAGCCTGAAAGAAGTTGGCAGAAGAGACAACACTGAAGGAACTTCTAAAAAAATAAACTTTGTACCAAAAATTTGGAACAAAAATAATGGAATAAAGATCTCCTTACTGAGTGTGCGTGTTTTTAAAGGATCTATGGAAATCAGGAAATGTATTTGTATAAGCATGTGGCAGTCCAGCCCTTTCATTAGCATGGTTCCCCCTCTTCACTAAATTGAATTTCACTCGTTTAAAAGATGTCGAAAATTTGGAAGGCTGGACTGGTTAAGCAGCCAGTAAAAGGTTAGCTCTTCACTTGCAGGTTAATGAAACTGTTTGACATTTGCTCCTTTGTCATATCAGCAGGCCTGAACGTCCCTGGACATTTTTTTTATTAAGGCGGATGTTCTTGCATTTTATTAAAAAATAATTTTGGAGCACAGGGAGAACTAAGGCATCCCAGTTCCTTGTGACAGGCATTGGCAATTGAACACAACTCCTTGCTGTATTGCCCTCTTTGTGATTACAAGCGTGTTTTTCAAACGTGCTTTTTTC